GAATGAATGAATGAATGAATGAATGAATGAATGAATAAATAAATAAATAAATAAATAAATAAACAAACAAACAAACAAACAAACAAACAAACAAACAAATAAATAAATAAATAAATAAGAGGCACAGTGAGGATTTGAACCGCCAACCCCAAGTGCTCCAACTCCCTTAACTATCCAGCCTCACTCTCTCTATCCACTCTCCCCCACTGACCCTGGCCACATTCAGTGATTTCGGCAATTCTTGACAGGGTATACAATCATGGTATATCTGCCTGCAAAGACCTTGCACCTTTGAAGATGAGGAGCCCCGGGGGGGGGGGGGGGCAATGGGGGAAACATAATGGAATTACTGAACATGGACAGCGATACCAAATGAGACATTTTAAAAGCAAGTTATTAATCCTGGACAGCCAGATCTCTCCGTTTTGTTTTGCTGCATATTTGAATACAGTGGTGCGATCGCAAAAAACTAATCGTACAGCGATTTCCTTATCTAATGAGGTAATCGTTAAGCGAGGCACCACTTGTTAAAGGGGAGAGTTCTGTTTTGTTTGTTTTAAACGAACCCAATGAAATTCTTACCCATCCCTAGTCCAAATGTCTTAGGGAGCAGGTTTAGCCACAGTCGCTCATTCTAATCTGAGCCTGTTATTTAACGGCTGATGGAAGAACGGGGTTTGAATGGGGTTCTTTCTCACAGCTTTTGCAGAAACGGGGCACACATTGTGTTTATTCAAAGATTCCTCCTTCTGGTCTATTTAGGCAAAAACGATGGAACTGAGGCTGCCCTACTTGGGAACGTAAGACTTGCCGAAAAAAACATAATGCTTCCAACTCCCTATAGATAATGTTCCTCCTACTCGCGCTTCCCAGGCAGGACAACTGAGGGCGATAACCTGGAAGGAGGAAACAAGGAACCGGGGCTTCTTGGCGGCTGTGCCCCCCTCAGAAGGGTGGTACAGAAATCAAACAAATACTGTATTTTTCCATGTATAAAACTACACTTTTTCCTAAAACAATAAGAGTTAAAATTGAGGGTCGTTTTATACACGGTAGTGTATAATTTTTGCAAAGAAAGTGGAGGGGGAAAGCAGGAATCAAAGCACTTGGATCCCAGCCTTCCCCCTCCACTTTCTTGCAAAGAAAGAAATTTTGGGTTAGAAAAGTGGGGGGCGTCTTATACATGGAAAATACGGCGAATAGATAAATGTTGACGGCAACAGGAAAAGAGGAAGAGCAAATGAGAAATGGACCGACTCCCTAAAGGAAACCACAGCCTTGAGGTTCTAAGATAAGAGCGAAGCAAGACAATTGAGGGCAGGACATTTGGGGGACTGCTCATTCACGGGGGTCACCATAAGCCATTTGATAGTGTGTAACTGCACCGACACTATTACGAGGCATCTACATGAGGCATTTTTCCTGCCCACGGGAGTCCTCGATTCCAGCATGGTGGTGAGGCATGGGATAATGTTTTCCACCACCCACCACCCCATCCCAACAACATCTCCACGATTTGCACAAAACGTTTTTGTGCAAAACTGGCAAAATGGCCGCTCGCCTCGCTTTGCCCAGTTTGCACCTCTCGTGCAAAAAAAAAAAAAAGGAAAACTGTTCTTGCAAATGCATTCAGGGGAACAGTAAATATACATCAGCCTCTTGATGAGCAAGTGGGGAGAGAGAAACCCTGTCATTTTTCATTCTCATGCCTTTGCTTGCCTGCTTAAGGCAGTGGTCCCCA